AGTTACGATCGCTTTGTGGAACGGGACCCTGGACCGTAGGGGAATATGGGTAAAATGGCTTGTTCCGGGTTAACACTAAGCTGGGCCCCGTCTCTAATATCACATTATTGTTTGGCGCAAGTTGACGAAGCGCATAGGGAGCCGGGAACCAGGTTAACACGACAAAAGCTGGTCCCCGGCTCTCTATGCGCGTCGTCAACTTGCGCCAAGTTATATTAGAGACGAGGCCCAGCTTATACACTGAACACGATCGGTCATTTCGTCAAAACTGGCCAAATATTGAGATTACAGCTGAGGTCATGCTGGCAGCTGAAGTGACACATTAAGGTAAGGAATATGTGAATATTACAATGATCACGTATTAAAGTAATTTACCACATGTAAGCCTGTCACATGTGACACATTAACTTTTATAGCCAACATGTAAGTAAATGTATAATTATATTTTTATATGACAAGTAGCCTGTCTATCATATGTTAGTATTTGCTTATGTATATAATGTAGAAATATGTTTACTTTAACTGGATAATTTGTATGCTAATGTGACTCACTGTCTTATTTCATATACTCCCTGTACTCTGTGAGAATGATTAATAGCCTCAACATATTTTTCCAGATGTGAAGAATCAAGAACAGCTTTAATAACAGGGAAGTTTTGCATCAGAGATCATCGTGAAGTGGAAGAAAAGACATTTTAAGGGTATGAACATTTTCACTTGAACTAGTTGAACAATAACCATGATGACAACTTTATCATGGGGGAATTTTTGGTGGTGGGGTAGCCTAGCGGTTGAAGCGTTCACTCTTCGTGCTGAAGACCCAGGTTTGATTCCTGCCACATAGCTGCGATATTGCTGAGTGTGGCGTTAAACATCAAACAAAGCTAACAGCCGCATACTTACTCACGTGGGGATTCCAGGTTGAAGTTAGTCCCCATAAACATGATCAACCTATGCTAGTTGTGACAGATAACTTAATGGATCGGGTGATCAGGCTCCCTGACTTGTTGATCCATGTCATTGTATCCCAATTGTGTGGATCGATGCTCATGATGTCAATCACTGGATAGACTGGTCCAGACTTGATTATTTACAGACCGCCGTCATATAGCTGGAATATGGCTGAGTGCAGAGTTAAACAACAAACACCAACATGATTCTACAACATGCTCTTGTGGATACCATTTTGAAGATCCTACACATAACTTCTTTTCGGGTCTTAACTATTGCAATATGTTCTACATGTGTTTTAAACATATATTTTTTTTATAGTGAACTGGATTTGCAAACAAGCCGATGGCTTATCTAAATGATGCTGAAATACAAAATAAGTATTAATAAAATACTAATTCTATACTATTGCAAACTATCAGTTGAGCAATAATGTAATCATCTGATTATAAGTAGATAATGAAGGAGAAGTCCATATTGATTAAATGTACCAGATTCTGAGATAAATGCACGTATTGATTGATTTATTTCAATGTTTTCCTGTACATAATTTTCAACAATTCCATATAAAGCTTTCTTATATCATATCCATGCTGTATCATAATACCTATTATTTCTAATAATAGCATAATTTGGACACACAAATAAGTAATGAATGGTATTTTTATATCAGGTGCCACACATGCGGGATAGGTCATTTGACATGAATCAGTTTTATGTGAATTTAAATCACTACAAGCTGATCTGAGTCATGAAAGGATATGCCTTCGATTCTGTGAAAATGGAAATGCTAAAACATCTCCCAATATTAACCATGCTATTACAGAATCTGTTCACTTGTTTTTGTATGTAAAATATTTTTGAAAGATTACATCCATCTAATGATTGTTTGTATGTGTGATATGCCAGTAGAGGTATATGTGTACAAGCATGTGCATACACATAAAAAAAATTATGTTTGTTTGGCTAGGTACCAGTATATGAATAGGTTGTTTAGTGCGACTTGTATATAAGCATCATCATAGTTTCAACAGACAGTTTATGTATATCAAATGTTAAATGTCTTTGTAGGGAGAATTGCATATCAAAACTGTCATTATTTTATTACTTATGAGTAGAACTTTTTAAGTATCTGGCATGATACATTTCCTTGGTCCACAGACACATGTTACCAGTAAACTGGCTTGATAAGTAGCATAACAGTCAGTGTGGTTGGAAACTAATTAAGCCGTCACTACTCAATTAAGTAATTAACAGACAATTGCAAGTGATAATACCCACCTGACACTAATTGCCCTGTTAATCCCTAATCCACCATGAGTTGACATTGAGCTCATCTTGCTAATGAGCTGTTGTGAGCGTAACGTGATGATAAACATCAAAGGTGGGGCAGGCTTTGATCAAGTGTTCTGTAGAAGAGATTATGTCACTTGTTTAATGTTTATTTAGGATTAGCTACATCCCTTGATGCGACCAAGACCATACTTGAGGTTATCAGACAGTTTGTCTGGATACAGCCTGATGTCTCAACTGTACTTATTGGATTCTGCCTTGTAGCAAACTATGTGTGTGACAAGGACTTTGACCACTCTGTGCAGATGCATAACAATGCATAATGAACTTGGGGTATGATTCAATTATGTCACACAAGTCAAAGATAGGTTCCAATGTATTTAGAAACAGACGATAGATGCAATACTGTGTAACTTTATAACAATCAAATGATTTACAATTACCCTTGAAAAGTTCCAAAACCAAATAGAACTACTTAAATTATGATTACACTTGACCAATATATTTGGCAGTTTTTGCCGTTATTGTTAATCTGAATTAAAGATAGGATAAATGATAAAAATATGATAATGCATATCACACACAAGTGTGTATTATACGCAAATAAATAAGTCTTGTATACATTGATTAATTGGAAAGGGTCCTAATTGGGATTGTTCACTAGCCAATATATTAGCAAATATTCCCATGGGCGCTTATTACAGCGAGGCGCTTATTACGTCAAATACTTTAGTTCTGTTTTTATGTATAAGAACCTATTTTATGCAATTTGCATTGCCTTGTTTACCTTTCCTTATGTTTTGATGTAATGCAAACATTTGAGAAAAATTCAGGTGAGCCTGCCTTATGGCACTACAGGAATTGTTTTCAGAAGATCAATTACAATTTTGTATTTTCTGTACAATTTACTGTTTGCTATGGCTTTTTTACATTGGTTAACATGGTTTGGTTAACAGTTGCTTGATAAATTGTCATTACCTTACTCATTGAGAAACCAAATTTTTACCCTTTGTCAATATATGTGTGTTTCTTATATTTTTAATAACAAGCTTTTATAGATGTTATAAATTGTTTCAGGCACCTGGATTTCACAGTGACACCAGATCAGACAAGTCATACAAAGGACTCTCCGGATGATGAATAATCCTCCCCAGAACAACTAACAGGTTCACCTCAGAAAGTGATGATTCTGAATGAATAATGCCACATCAGTGTGATTCTGTAGGTTGTTTTATTACGACATTAATCAAGTCTAAAGGAATCAATACCACAGCAGTGAGACTGTTTATGTGGTGTACACTGACGCTGACTATACAAATCTGAATGACTTTTGTGGTTTACTGCACAAACATAATTGACTTTAGATATTCTTCTACCTTGAAATTCTTCTGAGATTTGACTAATTTGTTTATTTAGAAAATGGCATTGAAGCATCGGTTTCTGTTTTTGAATGTTCTTGCAAACACCTCTGGTTACTGAACCAATGAAATGTCATAAAATCAATAAATATGATTTTTTATCTTAACAATTTTTTTGTTTTGCTTCTTTAAAGAAATATGATATTGATCATTCATAACATAGGTGCTAACATATATCAAATATACTAATGCCCTGAATGTTTTCCTACAATTAATACAGCTCACTGAACGAAGTTTTTAGTTCCATGTCAGTAGAAAAGTTACATTGATATTTTTATGTACCAGTACTTTATTAGGTGTTTTCTGTGGATGCCATTAGTCTTATGCACCCATTTGGGTTAATGATATTCTGTTTCGAACTTCAATGAAACTCGTCTGTCAAGATGTAACAAGTATTGATACAGTTCCAAAATAAACTTTTAATCTCACCAGGAACAAAGGCCCAAGTGAGCACATAGCCAATGACTTTCATTTTTTTGTCAGAGTGAGTATGGTGTCATGCCACTTTATGAGCAAAATTCAAACAATATTATGATGGGTGACACCAAGCAATGTACCGATGTGGTGAATCGAATGCTTCAACCACTAGGCTAAAACAAACTGGGAATATGAAGATGATATGTAAGGATACCATCATACCAGGACTGAATGCTTTTCATTTAATACGCTGAACATCTAAATTGAAATATATATGAACTTGAAAAATGTTTTCACCAAAAGTACATGCCCATAGATCTCAACTTCAAGGGGCTATTTACAACTAAAATAACACAGAATATTACTACAGCTATCTGCTATGCCCAGGCTAACATTATTTGTTAGGAGAAAGACATCTCGAAAAATTGCATCCGGATACCTGCCGGATACCTGCCGGATACCTTCAGCAATGTTCAATTTTCATGGTTAGTTTCCAATATATTTTTAGGTGTTTCACACTTAATTGAACAAAATGCACCCCCCAAATTGTGACATGTTTTTGGAAACTCGGAATGAGGTATCCGGTGCCGGATCCCTGGACACCCAGATTGAGGTATCCGGTGAGGTATCCGGTGCCGGATAACCGGATTCCAGGTGACATACTTTCCGGTGAGGTGTCCATGCCGGATACCACAGATCTGGTATCCGGCAAGGTATCTGCCACCGGATACCCGGACACGTTTTGGGTAAGTGTCCGGTGGTATCCGGCAGGTATCCGGATACCGGAAACTGCATTTTTTTTGCTGTGTATATAAGTGCAATAATCTTTGACGCGACGTTAAACCCCATTTCACCTCACCTCATGTGATGGTTTTAGTGTGTTGTCGTGTCTTTGAACAGTGCTGTAATCTTTCTTTACAGGAACCTTGGAAGAACGAGGGCTGACTAAATGGCGACAGAAGCTTGTTGGAACCAGCGATGGACCATCACATGTGGATCAAATGAAACTATATGACTTTCCTTTCGTCATGAAGTACCTAAGACGGATAGCCTGCTGTGCATACATACCATTTATGCCCACTTTTGATAAGGATATTTGCAAGGCCAAAACCAATGACGATGACCATGAAAATATTGAAAAACAGTCCAACCATGAACCTGTCGAGACTAAGGATGCTGAATGTCGCCTTTGATTATTTGGATCCATTGGACAGACATTCAGCATTTTGGTCTTGACAGTTTCACATTTTACTCATTATCAAACTACCTTCTGTATATGATTTATACATAACTGTATCTCATAATACTATATTTTTTATATTGATATATCAGTTCGTCCAGGCAAACCGTACTTGGAGAGTCACAGTTCAAACAATGAATAATCATCGCAGAAAGTCATAGTGTTTGTGAACTGCAATAAATCAAAAGAGCCGTGTTGTCCTTTTCCCAATGAAAGCTGCTCCAAGATACTGATATCAAATGGATATTTTGTTATAAAGTAAAACTGAAACGAACGGTCACTTAAACTACATTTAATTGTCAGACCATGTGTCACAAGGTCTCTGACAATAATGTGACATTTCGCCTCAATAGAAACATTGTATGCAAAGTTTATATGGGATTGGATATGGGAGATTTAATTTTTCAAGCTTAGTTTTTCGGGTGGTCAGACTCGCTGACTTGGTTGATACATGTCATTGTATCCCATTTGCGTGGATCGATGCTCATGATGTCAGTCACTGGATTGTCTGGTCCAGACAACCAAACAAATAACAATGCGTGAAGCCCATTTCTGGTGTTCCCCGTCGGGGTATTGCTGATATATTGCTCAAAGCGGCGTAAAAGCATACTCCCTCACTCCCTACCTGACTGTTAGAATAGGATGATCCAGGCAGAACAAAACACCTGGTTCTTTAGAACATCTGTATATGTGTACTTTTTCATGATTAAAAGAATATTTATTTCCAATAAGGCAGCGGGATTGGTGAACAGACAAAGCCTGTTTGTACACCGCTCCCTGCAAGAACATTTCACAAGTATTAAAATTAAACTGTACATGAAATAAGAAATTTAGATCTACTGTGTGAAATAATATTAGGATTCAAATATACAAGCTACACTATACATTAAACAAGTGAACAGATTGTATAATGGCAAGGTTAATATCAGTAGATGTTTTAGCATTACCAGATAATACTCGGGTGAGGTGAAATGGGGTTTAACGTCGCGTCCAAGATTATTGCACTTATATAGCGACGTGCATGTACGTGTGTGTGTTTGTGTGGCTGCTTGTACTAGTTATAGTGCTAGCTCACTGAGATACCATGTCGCAGTTTAACATGAATACCCCACTAAGACAAAGTATACTGACTCCGAGCCGATCAGTCCTTGTTTTAGCCCCTTAATGCCAGCGCCAGACAGGGTAACAACAAGTACCATCTTTTAACGTCTTTTGGTATGACGCGGTCGGGGATTGAACCCCGGACCTTGCGCTTTTCGGGCGGACGCTCTACCACTAGACCACGGAGGCGGTCCAGATACTACTGAATCCATCCAAGTAGCTGTACAATAGTTATGACACGAAAAGAAGTAATGTGCAGGGTCCTCATGAAGGCATCACAAGAGCAGGTAGTAAATTCATGAATTTATCTGTGATCTTTTGGTGCATTTAATCGTACATCTTCATGATGCTAACCTGAGGCTAAAAGTGATTAATTTGACAGAAACGGGTCCCACAGTCTAATTGAAAGCTAACTGTTTTAGTATTTTCAGTTGTGGTGATATTTTTAGTTTTAGATTGTTTGTCAGTTGTAATTTTTAAATAGTCTGGGGAGTGAATAGTCAGTGACCTAGTGACCTAAAGACATTTCGAGCCAACACTGCCATGGTGATCAAGTTAAGCCACACACAAAACACATTGACAATTGGATATATAAACAATATTTCAGATATATGTATTTCTCGTAATGTTATTGGATAAAGATAATGATCTTTTGCTAAAAAGTTGGGTTCAAAGAGTTTACCTCGTCTATTCAAGCAAGGATCGTTTGTTAACGCCAGCGTTATTGAAAGGCACAATGATCCAGTAGAGAAGCATGGCCCTTAGAGCATCCACTTGTAGGAATAGGTATCCGATGGGGCACGGGTGGCCCAGTCGTCTAAGGCGCCGTAATTCGCTGTGCAGAGTTGCGCCAGAAACCTATGATCGTGGGTTCGAATCCCGTATCGACCCGATTATGTTTCTAGGTTTGTCAGCACCATACCCGTGCTCGTGGGTTTCACCGAAGTGGTAAACGTTTGAGACCTGCATCACTTCGGGCTTTCTTCCCACATTAAGCTGACACGCCGTGACTGGAATACTGTTAAAAGCGTCGTAAACACTACTCACACTAACTCACTGGAAATAACCGAATGTTGGACAACGCAAATGTTAATGAAAAATATATAACCGTAATGCCTTGAACTGTGTCCGACGATGGATAATTATTATGTATAAGGTAAATATGTTACCCTTCAAAGGTAATATTGGCATGGCAGAACTAATGCAGTAAGGAGAACATTTTCGTTTGACGTAAACAAAATTGCACACATCTTTGATTGTATGCGACAAGGTCAAGACGGTCCCTTCTTGATTTGTTACAAGTAAAGAATACCTTCGAACCCAATGTTTGGGGATAGATGTGGCCCCGCACTCACTGTGTGAAGTTGTGGTACCTTTACAACACCAGGATCTGTTTAGCAAGGTTTCGAATTCTGATAATGATCCCTTGGTCAGTATTGGCACATGTTCGTGCTTGTGGTTTCACCAAAGTGGCCACGTCTGTAGGGATTCCTGCAACATCAAGCTGGCAACCATACTTCTAAAAACCTCTCGAACAGTGTGGTCATCCCAGTGTCGATCAAGCTCCTCACAGCGATAGTCCGTTCGCGGAGCTCGTAACGAAGGTGTCACGCGCTGGGAAGGAGCTTGAGTGTCGATACACAAAGGCGGATAACTCCCGAAGACGTTCTCGCATACCGTCAATAAAAACTCCAGACACAGCACTTGACATTTTACGAGCGCTCCAATTAGCAGCCCTTAATAATCATCGCAAATATACATACACTCTGTACTGCCACTAAACAATACGAAATATGAGAGTGCACTATGGTATAATAATAACATGTAAGTACATGCATAAATAGACAAAGAATGCTAAAAAAACAGCATGTGACATCTTGTATATATGCACTCCTGGTGTTACGTGAATATGGTGCCCAATGATGTGACGCACATATGGGATATTTAACGGGCTTTCCATTTCATACCAAGTTTATGTCCGAGTTTTATTGTTTCACGAGGGACATAAAATTAACAAGACATGAAATAGGAACGAGGTGTGTATCCTATTTAATACCAACTATGTTTAGGGTTTTTACGCCATGAAACTATTAAACATGGAGCCGCATGACTTCCGGCAGGCAGAACCTAACATGCTTGAAGTAAGACGAGTTCTATGGATGAACAACTTCTTTATTACAATTAGTGCGACGTTTCGGTGTAGATCCTAACACCTTTATCAAGCAAGTCATAGAACTCGTCTTACTTCATCACACCAACTTCTAAATGCCACTGAAAGAACCTAACATGCTTGCAAGCTAAAAATGAGATCGCTGAATTGGCTCTTCATATTGAAATGAATAATATTATTTTCCGTTACGGCTTGCAAGCTGATACATCTGCACTAGTGAGTCTGGATTGTGTGTTCACAGATCGCTCTAGTTTTAAATGTCATAAGTTCGGAAGTTTCAGAATGTTGTATTTCTCGTTAAACCACCACTGGAGGTACAGGAACAAAGTACTTACATTCTGTTGCAGTTATTATTGACATTTATATGTTGTGTTCAGTAGATCTTACCATTATATACAAATGATACGTTCTCGAAGATGGATTGATGAAATAGCCGTTGTGTGAAATAAAAACACATTTCACCAACATATGTAGTTGTTACAACAATGTGACAACAGGCATGTAAGTAAACATTGCTGTCTCGAGCCTGTATTACAAATAAATGCAAGAAAAGTTCATGATCGTGGGTGAGTATCGCCTGTTTTAGTACGATTATCACATTACATACATCATCGCTGCAGATCAGCTTGCCGCAACGTTTCACATATACACAATGTTCAGCATGTAGAATAGCCACGTGTGCGAGATTCAAATGTTGTGTTGGGTAGGTCCATCCACCCATCAATACAGTTAGTATCATATCCTCAATGATATATTTAAATATATTTTATATCTCAGGTTCATAATGGAAATAATACCAATACTATCGAGTGAATGTAGTTTGCTATACGAGATATACTGCCTGTCATGTGTACCACGAACTGACAAAGATAAACAGAAGTCACCACGCGAGTGTGTTTGGGGATGGTAAGTATTCTGTATTATGAATAATCATTGTATTTAACGAGCCTTTGGAAGCCACTGTAACCATAGCCTATGATACGTCACGTTTGTGTAGAGACTGCCTGTCCTGTCATAAGGTCACGAAGTGCAGTCAGATGTTCACACAGCGACAAGACGAAACAAGATAACAATTCAGACATATTTCGGCCAAATCCAACTGTTTTAATTTATGGAAAACGTTCCAAGGCACAGAGGCCTACAAGCAAAGGTATGAAAGTGATCCCGCAAGGCTTGTGTCCTCGCTAAATTGTTTCGCAATTTATATCTCCAAAGTTGCTAAAACCTGTAAATTGTCCGTGCTACGTTACAGGTAGACACTTATTTCCAGTATATTAGACTATTCTTTATGATAATACTAGCAATGATCCCAGAAGTTTTTCCAAAGTCCCGATGGTTTATTCTGACTCGACAAGGACGACGCCATGCTTGTCTGTAAATGCTAAAAGCAGTCCCTCTTTGACCTTTGATATTTACATCTCTATCCGCATATGACCCCAAGGGGTATCGTTTTTATCCGTTGGATTTATATCACAAAGAAAGCTATCCCCCGTCTCCGATGACAAAAACATGTAAATCATGCTGGAGTAATCTCCTGTGTAACATCAAGCGATGGCATCACCTGCCTTCCATAACTAACTTAGCAATACTACGGCAAAACATGTTCTACCTAACAAGTTAAACTTTTATATAATTGCAAAAATATTTAACGACAACACAAGGAGTGAGCCTGGCAAAGTTAAATGCCACTATAAACCACAAATTTTAAACAAAGTAAAACAAAGTGAGCTACCGCGTCTTAGTTCAATGAATAACCCCTGGTTGACCCAAGTACGAAGACACAAAAAACGCAAAAAACAACAACACTGCTGCAAAATGGGAGCGGAGGGTCGGCTGAGCTCCAGGCCAAGTCACATGACTTTCAATTTATGCGTAAAACCTACGTGACAAGTCTGAGGGGTAACATGCACGAATGAGTCCGATAAAAGGGCCTTGTGAACCGGTGAAGGGTAGACATAGTCTGGAAGCTTCGTAAAAAAACAGAATAGAAATTATTCATAGGGGTCCTGTTTTTATTGTCGGCTTCTGGATATCAGTACAAGTAGTAAATCAGCTGGGAAGTGTGTGTGTGTGTGTGTGTGTGTGGGGGGGGGGGGGGGGGGGGGGGGCACACACTGACAGCTGATATGTTATGTAACAAGACAAGACCGTGTATTTATTTAGTTGTTAGAGGTCAGAGACACCTAAACCACTGCGCCCTCCACCCGATCCATTTAGTCGCCACGGTTGACAGCTCAAGTTTCAACTACTTCACGTATGTTCAGACAGAGACATAGAATAGGCGCTCACCCGTACATAAATCGCAGTAACAACTGCGTGGTGTATATGGTATATGTACGTGACATGTACTATTGTATCTGAACTGAACGAGTTTCAACACGGGTCAGCAGTTTTCCCTCTAGGAAAAGGAGTGCACTACTATTCAGAATATTGTTGTGTAGGTGCAGACACGATTCACTGTAATACAACATTGTTGCACTTCGACCATGGATGATAACAACGTTGGTGAAAATGAAGCTGGTCGAAGGGGAAAGAACCGGATACAATATTCTGTGGATGAATCTCCCTTTCCTCTTCTATGGCCATTATTTGGTGTACAGGTAAGACATACACTGAAGGGGCAAAGCTGGACACAACGACTGGAACGATGTTGCGTAATTCAGCAGAGTAAATTTGATATGCATTGTTTTCAAGATAATTGCATTTTATCAGGAACACCTCGATTATCTTTCGTTAAAACATGTGACTGAAACGTGAGCACATAATCATGTATAGGTCAATCGCTTTATGATGTGCGGTACAGCAGGTCCACCTGATGTCGTTACCGGGACGTGTACACTTCGACAGGCCGTTGTTTATCATCCTTGACATTTTTATACCGACAAGTTAGCGTGTGCAGCCGGGCGTGGAGACATCCCACTGATGTCGCCCCCACCTTGTCAGCTTGCTGATCGATTAATCTCTTTGGTCATGTGGACATTGCGCCTAACCTCGGATTAGCAGTTCGTGGTTCGAATTCCATCACGGGTCTCGGAAATTGCGTGGCCGCTACACGTGTCAGGAAAAGAACTATTGGTGCGTCATCAAATTAATAATAACCAATGTGCGTCATTTGGTTTTCGGTTTCTGTAATGTTAGCCCACATTCTTCCATGAATTTGGAAATCACCGCGGAAGCGTATATTCACAGAATAGGACCTTTTTCAGTTATTGTCGGTAGGTATATTTAAATAATTATATCTACAATTAAAGGTTACAAAATGCGAAGTTGCAGTACTACAATATTACAATATTCAAAGGATGTGTGGCAATACATTTCGTGCAGAAAACACGATAGAAATCTACAAAGAGAAAGTATCTTAAGTTTTGGGGACAACAGAGAGCTTGGAATTTTTCGCTTTTCTATTGATGACTGTGGCGTCATATCTTTTGCGTCACAATGAGCGATATGACGTAATAATGGTGACGTGCGATGTAGAACGTAAGCTTTGCAAAGCTTGCTTAGTTATCTTTAGGGCCCATCTTACGTAAACAAACTGCCTGAGCATATACAGCGCCATATTTTGTTTGAAGACTGTTGTCGGTGAATTATTCGTAATTCAAATACTTCCCAATCAAAACACTGGACTCACCCCATGCCGCTTCACTCAAAATATTTGCTGGCACCAAAGAGTTCACGTTTTATTTAGTCAGGGTAGAATGGAGATAAACATAGTGTGTTTGTATGAGCTAGAGCTAGGTAACCTGTAGATTTATCCGTTGTTCCAAATTCAATTTAGCGCGGTTAAATCTACAGGTAACCAAGCTCTACATTGAAAACACAGTATGTTTATCACCTAATTAATCAAAACATGCATATGTGTGGAAGGCAATTCTTGCAGTGTAACTGATCTCCTAGCTGATCACAAGTCTCACCTCCTTTTAGAATTAAGTATGTAATAACAATTTGGTAAACTGTAAATAGCCATGACAGGAGCCAAGAGTTCCAAAATGGGTGTTGACATCATAAAGCACTGTCAAAAGCCATGGTATCTGGAGGTCACACACATATGATGTCTTATTAAAACACTGTGAATAGCCATGACATCGGGAACTGACACATGGATGTTGCCTTGGTAAAGTACTATGATTAGCCATGGTATATATCTGGAGGTCACACACATATGATATCTTATTAAAACACTGTGAATAGCCATGACATCGTGAACTGACACATGGATGTTGCCTTGGTAAAGTACTATGAATAGCCATGGTAACTGGAGGTCACACACATATGATGTCTTATTAAAACACTGTGAATAGCCATGACATCGTGAACTGACACATGGATGTTGCCTTGGTAAAGTACTATGAATAGCCATGGTAACTGGAGGTCACACACATATGATGTCTTATTAAAACACTGTGAATAGCCATGACATCGGGAACTGACACATGGATGTTGCCTTGGTAAAGTACTATGATTAGCCATGGTATATATCTGGAGGTCACACACATATGATGTCTTATTAAAACACTGTGAATAGCCATGACATCGGGAACTGACACATGGATGTTGCCTTGGTAAAGTACTATGATTAGCCATGGTATATATCTGGAGGTCACACACATATGATGTCTTATTAAAACACTGTGAATAGCCATGACATCGGGAACTGACACATGGATGTTGCCTTGGTAAAGTACTATGAATAGCCATGGTAACTGGAGGTCACACACATATGATGTCTTAGTAAAACAATTTGAAGGGAACTGACACATGGATGTTGCCTTGGTAAAGTACTGTAAATAATGAGTGAGTGAGTGAGTGAGTGAGTATGGTTTTACGCCGCTTTTAGCAATATTCCAGCAATATCACGGCGGGGGACACCAGAAATAGGCTTCACACATTGTACCCATGTTGGGAATCGAACCCGGGTCTTCGGCGTGACGAGCGAACGCTTTAACCACTAGGCTACCCGCCCGCCCCTGTAAATAATGATGATACTATGTGGTCACAACATTGGTGAGCGTATGCAAGTCTTCCTCCAGGTTGTGCCCGGTATGTGCTGATCCCTGTGCATTAAGGTACATGTATGTGACACAATCTGCCATGTTGCTGTTTCCGAGTCTCCGTGTGTAGGTGTGTTCTGTTCAACATCGGCGGTGTTAAATATCTGTGTTGTGTTTTTTGGATACAAAAAAATAAGGTCAGGTCAAATTTACACTCTTCTCGTGTGACCGCCCCGGGCAGCCGTCACGGCTCTGCATCTCCTGGGCACTGACTGGATAAGTGTACAAATTCTGCCCTGCGGAATTCTGCGCCATTCTGCTTGTAACGGGTTTGCCAGTGGTGGAAGTGTCTGCGGCGATTTCTGACGTTGACGTACACGTCGATCGAGTTCATCCTAGAGGTGTTCGATTGGGTTGAGATCGGGAGATTTCGACGGCCAGGGCAAAACGTTGAAGTTGGCATCCTGAAGGTAGTCCACAGTGACATGAGCTGTATGCGGTAGAGCGTTGTGCTGTTGAAACAGCTCCCCCTGGCGTCAATGATTGGAAGAAGGTGAAGTTGAAGAATTTGATTCATGTAACGATTTGCTGTCAGCCAAGTCAGACCTCCTGGTGTAGGATATGCCCCTACATTGCGTTATTGCGATGACGTAGTATGAACAGCCGAATGCAGTGATCCTGTGCAGGGGTGGTAACTCTTGGTTGGCCGGTCCTCGGACAGTCTGCAGTGGAATTGACCTGTGTCTATCAGTCACAAAGGCGGCATATGGTGCTGTGGTGGACGTTGAAGACTGCGATTCCCCTCTGGATACGTCCCATGGCGATGTTCCGATCGGCAGCGCTGAGTCTCGGCATTTTCGAACTTGAAAAAAGTTGACAATCGAATGACAAATTATTGGCTTATGCTTGCCCTTTTATAGCCACAACCATGAGCTACGAACGCCATAACCTGCACGTGTATTTTGCTTTATTGTTTTCCTCCATGACATTTTTGAACAAGTGTAAAAACAATGCCGTTAAAGACATTGCAAATGGACAATGGCTGCGCTTTGACGCACCGTTTGTCGAATATCAGGCCACCAACATTTTCCAAAAATCATATATCCAATTTATATACCGGATTTTTTATGTAGTCAGGTTCAATGAACTACATACTACCTGTGGGTTTCTTTTTTAAGAGTGTATGCGGCAATGATACATTGTTATGAAATATTCAGTGGTTGTTTGTGTCATCAATAGGTTATTCACTGCAAGAGTCGCACCTACACAAAGACATCCTGTGCTCAGTTACAATGTTACCTGTTTATCTGTGTCAACCTGCATATCACCGTCGTCGTGTTGCAGGATTGCTGCAGTGCGGGGTCAGGCAACAAACAAACACTTTTTATGCAAATTGTGTCATTGGCAGGTGCTACCAGTAGGGCAGGACATGCTTACCCATTTCACAACAAACACCTGGTATCATATCTGATTTACAATTATCTATTTACCTAATTGTCACCACGTTTTGCTTTTTACACCCAATGGGATCTTTATCGTGGGATTATAGAGACTGATATTCTCACGTTTTACATTTGTTTAATTGGACATGAAAACAAAATGCATACAACTAACTCTTTTTACTACATTTATATGTAGACGTGACACGTGAAGGGATGTGTATAGTTGACTCAATTAAAAGACAGTGTAATTATTTTGTTGTTATTTGACGCCACACTATAACAGAACTATGGTGACACCCTGTCAACAAAGTCTGGATCAGGCATAATCAGTCGAGGTACGATTCCCACAGTCAACTAAATCACTGCGCCTCCCATGCGATACATTTTGTCGCTACGGTGGACAACTCATGCTTTAACAAGTTTCACCTTATCTGAATATATCCTCAAGTATGTTCAGATAGTGATAGAACAGGCGTTACCTGATTCGCAGTAACAAACGCGTTATGCATGTGGTATGTGTTCAGAACATAATTATACTATCGTATCTGAATGGAATGTGTTTCAAGATGGGTAGGTAGCTTTCCCTGTAGGAAGAAGAGTGTACTACGATTCAGGATATTATTGTGCACGTGCAGTGCACACCCAATTCAAGTAACACTACTATAACACATCATCGTTGCACTTCGACCACGGATGACAACAACGTTAGTGAAGGAGAAGATGGCCGAAGAGGAAAGAACCGGATACAATATTCTGTGGATGAATCTCCCTTCCCGCTGCTTTGGCCAGTATTTGGTGTTCAGGTACAACCTACATTGTGTATGTACACAGAAGAAGATTAAGGTGTCGAATATGTCTTTATAGGATCCAATTTCAGAGAAAATTGTGTGTGTGCATCGCAGCTGAAGTGCTCCGGAGGCCACATCATTTAACTTTCACTGATCGTACCGTAATGCGATTGATCGTTAACATTGTAGCCTCTGGGGTCATGTTAACCTGCTGTTATCAAACAGATGAACAACGTAGTCCATTAAAGGTGTATTGCGACCTTATTTCAAAGTCACTTTAAACATACTCTGTTTCCACCCAGGAAAAAGAAACTCAGCTGCGTCAATCGATAATATACACAAGGATCCATCAAGGGGTCCCGTCTGCCATGTCATAGATTCTGCGAAGGTGTTCGATAATTAAGTTTGTGAAATTGGTACCTGATTATTGTTTGGTTAAACAAATATGAACATGTTTTGAATAATATGAACAAAAACAAAACAACATTTTCAATATTTCAGCAATCTCTGCTTTGTGTTGCTGGCGTCATTTCTGCACCCATTTTCATTGCCATCCAACTCGGCGTCAGCGACCAACCGGAAGTGCGCAGACAACTTCTGAGTATAGGATTGTTCACATGTGGAGTGGCCACTATACTTCAAAACCTAATTGGATGCAGGTGATTTTACTGTAGTTGAACGACTTCTGTGATCAAGTAAATGTGTTTGTTATGCGAAAATTAAGATCGAGAAAAAGTGTTTGTATATATAATATATGCGAATGTAACGATCCAGTAAATATGTTTGTAGTTAGCATATAAGATAATGTAACGACCTAGTTAACATCTAGTAAACATATTTGTTGTTGTTTGTTTTTTGCAATATTCAGCTATATGACGACGGTCTATAAGTAGCCCAGTGATTGATATCATGAGCACCGATCCACGCAATTGGGATACGATGCCTTGCATCAACCAAGTCAGCTAGCCTGACCATCCACGCCTCTTACGACAAGCAGGGATTTTGTAGTTAGTATTGGGTATTTAGATTAGGTTAATGTGTGTGGAAGTAGTGAATATAACATGGACCTATCTCTATCGATGAAAGATGAGTGTCACTAAATGCAACCTATTAATATTTCAGACTCCCCATCATACAAGGAGCAAACACCTCCTTTATCGCTCCGATGGCAGCTATTTTCAGTCTAGCAAAGTGGAGTGATGGTAGGTAAATGCTTCGTCAATTTCTATAGCCATACATACTTTCAGACAGTGGAGCAGACAAGGGTTTATAGAAGATTTCTTAGTCGATTATTTCCCAATTGATGAGTTAAAATATGAATATGATAACTTTGCTATTCCCCGAAAGTCCAAAGACTGGGACTACGCTAACACCAGCCACATTGGTTTGATATGGTATGCGAGGGACTGAGGTACAAAAAATGTCCTTCCAGACAGGTTTAGGATCACGAATGATTGTGAAGACTGTAGTAAGTATTTAAATGCCAAAAAGCTTTGTAAAGAAACTTGTAAAAGAAAAACATTGATTATGAAAAGTCTGTTCCTGAAGAAGTTGTAAAAGCTGCAAAAAGTAAAGATTGTAAATTATTTTGGAAAACAATTACAAAATACTGCTCTAGAGTTCATTAGATCATTATCCATCACTGCTGACGATTGGTAGGCCTACTTCAGAGAACCTTTGAATCAGCAAGTCAAATCAAATCACTCATTTGATAAAGATGTCGCAGATGTTTCAAAACAAATTCTTTCATACAACTTGTCAGCGGGGAAATATCAGAACGTGATATTATTAATGCTATACAGCATTTGAAAACAAGCAAATCACAGGGACATGAGGGGATCCCAACAGAAACTGTGAAGGAAACCTGTTCTCTGTTATCAAATTACTACAGAGGCATTGCCATGTTAGATATTAAAATTAAAATATTCATATCAAAATCAATTCAATATATTAAATCTCTTATTATTGTTGAAGATTGCTCTCCGATTAATCACATATTTACTTTATATTCACTGTCACATAAATACATGTATATCAGAAAGAAGCGTGGAAAATATTACTGTATTTGACGGCATTTGATACGGTGGATCGAAATAAACTTCTTTATACGTTGCTCAGTAAAGGTAAAAATGGTAAGATATGTTCACTACTAAGAATTATATGAGGAAACGTAAAAGCATCTGTAAGATGTAGTAAATATATTGTGACTGATGTATTCAATACAAGTACAGGTGTAAGACAAGGATGTTTACTATCACCACTCCATCTTGTACTTTGATGAGCTTGTGAATGATATCGTGAATACTGATTGTAGTGGTATTTTTGTAGATGAAGTTGTACAGGCATTATCGATTTTACTATTTGCGAATGATGTTGCAATGTTTGCAGAGGGTGTTCCAAATTTATAAAAAAAGAGAGATGTTCTATATAAATATTTGGCTACGTGGGAAGTATCTGTAAATACTAACAAAACTAAAGTTGTTGTTTTCAAGAAAGGAGGAAAGTTATCTAAACATGAGAAATGGTTATTCATTCCAGAATAACTAGAAGTGTTATCATAGTACAAATATTTTGGCTAAACACTTTCATGTCGAAATGTATTTACAAAATACAGTACGTGAAGCACTTTCAAGGCAAACAGATAACGCAAGTATTCAGCTAATCAGTTTATTAGTTAATTGAGAAATATACCTGTTGAGTCGCTGTTTGGGATATTTAATGGTACAATACACTCAATACTGGTGTACGGCTCGAAACTTGATGACTTTGGGGACATAAACTGGGCCTCAGCATGGGTTTGTATATGCGTGGATATCCCAGGATGTTGGAAATGTAATCATGTTCTTAAAAATGTTTAAACAACGATGTAGAGTTATGTACTGTCAAGGCTGGTCAACTGATATGAGCTGTCCCAAATCGATACTTGCCTACACTATGTTTAAGCTGGAAATAATACCAGAAAGACTTTAACAAATATTCGATCTATATATTTACGTAGATGTTTAAAGTTCAGGTGTGGTATACATACCCTCAATATAGAGGTATACAGACTATCCAAAGATAAGGATATTTTAACATCGATGTGTCCCTACTGCACATATAAGATGAATACCATGTGTTATTAATATGTCCAGTATATGAAGATGTAAGAATCAAATACCTGCCTAACTATACTAAACAACAAAAGTTCCTGTGACATGTAAAGTTTAATGCAAAGTTATGTTTTTTACCAAATCGGAAACAAGTTCGGTTTGCAACAGATAAAAGACTCCCGTAAGTGTTCAAATGGTTTCATTTGCCAAACTGACTTCAGAATATGCGTGATTTCATAAAAGAAACCATGAACATGCCAAAATGACAATTTACAAGTCAATAGCGTGTGTGTCCACCTCTAGATGCGATGCAAGCAACACATCTTCGTCTCATGGAATGGTCCAGGCGTCGCACAAAGTCCTGTGGGATATCTGTCTATATCTGCTGGAGCATGTTTCGAAGTTCCTGAACTGTGGAACACGTGGTTGACGTCGAGGGCGCCGATCCACCCCCACCCCCACCCCCCCCCACCCCCACCCCCCCCCCCCACCCCCCCCCCCCCCCCCCCCCCCCCCCACACACACACACATGTGCTCGATTGGTGAGAGATCAGGGGAGCGAGCCGGCAAGGGGATGACATTCACGTTGTTTTCTTGAAGAGAATCCTGAACAAGTCGAGCAATATGTGGACGGGCGTTGTCATGTTGAAAGGTATTGCCTGGGTCATGACGACGCAAAAACGGTAGAACAACAGGGCCGATGATCTCCTCGCGGTAGCGCTGTCCATTGGGATTTCCCTCTACCACTACCAAACGGGCCCTCTGTCTTGCTGTAATCCCACCCTATACCATAACGCTGCCGCCCCCGAACCGATCTTCTTCCATGACACAATAAATGACGTAACGTTTACCTCGACGGCGGTACACTCGAATCCGTCCATCGCTGTGCCTGAGGTGAAAACGAGACTCGTCAAAGAATGGAACTTGTCCCAACTGCATGGACGTCCAGCGTAGACGCTGTCTGCACCACTGTAGACGTGCTTGACGGTGGTTTCCTGTCAAAATGGGATGTCTGGCGGGTCTTCTGGCGACAATCCCTGCACATCTGAGGCGACGACGTACGGTTTGTGAAGATATTCGTCGAAGGCCAGGGATGCTTCTTGCAGTCACTGTTGCTGGCTGGAATCGATTTCGTTGGTGTGTTGTTCGAATCCAGTTGTCTTGTCGATTAATGGTTATGCGTGGCTTGCCACTCCCAGGATGGTCTCTGACTGCATTTGTCTGTTGCCAACGTTGCCATAAACACAAAATGGTGTTTCTGTGGACATTAAATTGTCACGTTGACTCGATCCTGCTTCAAGCATACCAATGGCTCGCAGACGTTCATTTTCGGACAGGCGTGGCATGTCGTAATGGTGTAATTTTTTGTTTTTCTGTGTGGTTGTTGTCAACACGATGCTAAACAATGCATATGGAATCCCGTTAACGCAAATGTTTTTATATCCATTCTTGGGTAGTGTAATGCATGGGGCTTGCATAAAAGTCAACTTTTGCATGGAATGCATGCTTTTCTGTAGCAGTTGCGTTTTTGTGATTTAATTCCATACATGTACTACAACATTGAAAACCAAACTTTACTTGTTTGAAAAATACACTAAAATATTGGTGTCAAAAGGAACTTTTGTTGTTGAGTATATTATTATACGTACCCAACACAAAGACTTGCAGTTTTTGTTAATAAGATATGTGAAAGAAAGATGATACATTGAATTTTGTTAAAAGTCAAATGTATACATCTATTCGGTTACAATATATAAGACATGCTCCTGCAACAAAATGTCCTTGTACTATTGGCCTCATGGCCACATATACGAAATACATCTGTCTGTATGTCATACATGTACTTTCAGACATTTAGGCAAGACATAGGCATACCTATGGCACCAATTATGCATCCCTTCTTGCTGATCTATTTCATTATGTACAGGACTAGGAATTCTGCTCGGACTGACAAAATGTTTAACTGAAACTTTAGGTATATCAGTTTAGACTGACAAAAACAAGGCTGTCTGACAAGAGGGATTACTTTAACTTTCCAATAATCACCTATGTCTAGCAATGTTTCACGATTTTAAGGTAGAATCGAGCATGCTTTTTCTGCGAAGATTGCAAAGATATTTGACTATTGCTCAAAAGTGTTTGGATAAGGGCGATACCATTCAAGGCCTCAGTGAAGCTACAAAAGGGTTTTATGGCAGACATATGGGCGACGTTTCCAAATTTAAAAAACTCAGTGATAAATGATACGTCCGAAGCAATTAACTATTTTCTTTTAGATGCACAATTGACTTCCTTTGCATATGTTTGCGATGTTACCTCATTAGTGTCTAGGCCTGACAGCTCCATACCCGTGCTTGCGGGTTTCAACTAAATGTTAAAACTTCAAAGACCTGCCTTACTTCGGGCTTTCCTCCGTTATATAACTGGAATACTGTTCAAAGTGGCGTTATACCCAACTTGAATAGGTTTGTGAAAGGGGGGCTCCGACGGGGCAGGGTACGTTCACCTTTTCTTTATGAATATGGGAAAGGTCTTGTCGCTTTCTTTATGTTAGTAGTAGTAGTAGTAGTAGTGGTGGTGGTGGTGGTGGTGGTGGTGGTGGTGGTGGTGGTAGTAGTAGTAGTAGTAGTAGTAGTAGTAGTAGTAGAAGTAGTAGTAGTTGTTGTTGTTGTTGTTGTTGTTGTAGCAGTGGGTGATTACGTATCTGATTTATTAAATCTCTTCCTTCAGTAACAACACTGTGGACCCAACGTCCACTAGAACAGGATATACTGATGTTTAACATTGTACAGGCAAATGTCAGATAATGAACTGTTCTTCTCAATGCTAGAGTCTCTCCTGAAGGAGATCCCAATAGTCAATGGAACGGTGACGGATGAACCCTGGAAGATGAGGATGAGAGAGGTAGGTACTCATATATAGGGAGTGTCAATATGTGATGCTTTTTCTGAAATCGTACCCAGCACTGATGTATCGTTGTCAGTACAGGCAAAGTACTTCTTACCCAAATTTCTGAGTCACCTCGCATATGGCAATACATATACTCCATATAAAATCTCTTGCAGGTGATGTTAGAACAAACGTCAAATGGGAAAAGGCTGTTCGTTATTTACTAATTACTACCAAACATAACTATTTAAAGAGTATCATTATAATTATTTTGAAAACGGGAAGTGGCGAGTTAATTTCGTCACTTACAGTTTCTAACGTTAAACCTAGAATGTAGTGATATATTGTGTATATAGATGTTTTGGCATGTGAATGGCTTGCACTAAAGAAGTGTATGTTATATGTTGTTCCCCACAGGTAGTTACTGGTGTGTACACGGTTATGAAAAACCGAACTTTGCAGTAACTGTACAAATTGTATGATTCCCAAAGTCACTTTACAAATTGCTTGACAAGTTCAGTCATTCCACACACACAGACAGAAAATTAAGTTGATTTGTTTGAAAGACATATATTCAAACATTTACCTCTTAAATTACTGAATACGCAAAGTTCAATGCATCAAAGAATATCATATGAAAAGAAATGACCACGACACAATGTCACAACTACTATAACTATGGATCAGAATGGACAAGAAGCAAGAGTTGAAAATAGTCGGCCTATAATAATAGGATCAACAAATACAAGACTGACTCCTAATCATGTTTTGAAATGACTGGATCCGAATACAGATTACTGTACCCTATGAAAGAACAAGGATACGTCATTAGAAGTAGGTCATTACTCAGTATGTGCTACTAATCAGGAAATACCAGTTGAAACTCGACGATGGTTAAACACTCCCTGCGAAGACCTTCGATGTCAACTTTATGAATCTACCTCTGTTGGAGAGTCCCACTATTTGTGGGAAGCTCTTCTCTAACAACGAAACGTTATCATTATGACAATATCTTTCAAAACCTACATACTTTTCAGAAACTTTTGACTAGCAACAGCGTAAGGATTTGAAAGATGTCTCCAAAGTTCTTAATTATGAAAATACTACAATTTGTAAAACCACGTGATGTTAATAAATTATATTTGTATCTCCTGTAACCACCGTTGGTTGAGAATAAATGAGTTGAGCAGGTTCAGGGAGAGCGGTTTTTAATGAGCTGTTACTGAGTAAGAGAAACGCAGATTAAAATGTCCAACTGTTGAGTTCTTTTTTTAATAAGTGAACATACATAAATAATTTCCAGCCAAAACCATACCCTTGGACGCTAAGGAGTTGATGCGTGATAGTATGTATTTCAAGTAAATATCTTCTCGTGGCCCATGGTAAAACGAGACACCTTCAGAATCAAGGGTCAACTGACCCACATGACTCCACTGTGAATGGCATATGTGACAGGTCCTTATTTAGTATGGATGCCAGAGCAGAGGTGATCTGACTGCACCCGATACTGCATCACAAGCACAGGTCAGCCTGATGATCACTGATGCAGGAGGCAGATGCTGGTGCCACCCAAGCCTAATCTCCCTAAAAAGACGTCATTCAATGGATTGTGTTGATATTGCCCCTTTTCTGTAAAACATGATCATGTACTTGTGCCTTGTAATTGTTTTCTTCTACACTTAGTTTCGGGTAGATTGACAATGCTTGTTTCAAACTTTTCAAATAAGAGATTCATTAACAGTTTTCTTCAATAATTGTACTGGTAATTTCTTGTGCAGACATTTGTTTTTGTTTCGGAGGATTATTGTTTTCACTTTCATTACTCTCCTTCATAGAACAGCATAACGTGAACCTCAAACAAGAGTTTGTATCTGTGGAGTGTCATATCTTAATTACCGCCGTAATATTACTGGAATATTGAGTAAGGCGTAAAACACTCATATTTTAATTTGACCGATGCAATGCGTTTATACATATGAAGTGTGTATTGATATACCATACTTTAAATCTCCAGGTCTACAAGTAATAATACGCTGTATCATCGCTTCCAGAGTAATGTTTTCCAATTCTACCTTTGGGACTTTCAGATACAAGGCAACTTAATGCTGGCCTCGGCAACACAGTTTGTGCTGGGAGCAACCGGCCTTATTGGCTTCTTTCTCAGGTTCATCGGTCCGCTCACTGTCGCCCCGACGATCACAGTCATAGGACTGTATATAGGACAGTTTGCCTTGCCACTTTGTGAGCAGCACTGGGGAATAGCTTTTCTGTAAGTGTCACCCCGTCTGAACGCCGCTCGTTGTGTTGTCGAACACTCAGCTCATGCTTTATGCAACATGACACAATCTGAGTGCTCGACACTCGTAACAATCATATTCTGTCGTACACTTTCGAGAGTCGCTGCGCTACGTTTGTGTGGTGGTACTATGCTCTGGCTATTTCGCCTTACTTGGGTTCTAGGAACCGTGTCATGATTCTCTGGCGATTGAATAACTAGAATCGGTTTCTGTAGAAAATACATTCTTCTGTTTGTTCCCAATTTCATTGTTACCGTGGTACTTTTCAATCGTGCAAATCATGTAAAGAATATTCTATTATGTTTATGGTTAACTGTTGTATTGCAAACTATCCTTTCACCGTCTTATGAAAGTATCATGTCTTCGTGGTAGGGTGGAGATAATCCTACTTAGAGATGTGAATTGCGACAGAAACGAAAGCGTTCAGGCTAACATGATATGTTTCGGGTCAATATATACTAACAGAAAAAAGTAATTGTGCTTCACATAAAGTGGTGAAAATGTGATGCTATTTGAAATAACGACATAATATTTGGTCATTCGTCTGATCAATGTTTTATCATAATAATTGCATTTACAAAATCCATACCTGGTACCAGGTGACAGAGCAACACGCCCTAAAATAAGGGTGGGCGTAACATCTCATTTAACAATGTCAATTTGGGGTGTGACCACCATTTGCGTTGATGCATGAGAGACAGCGGCAGCGTATTGATGACACCAGATGATTGTAAAACTGTCTGGGGGATATCAAGCAAAGATGAGCCCATCTGAACTAGCGTTACCGGTTGGTTCTGGTCCTGTCGTAGGAGTCTAACCATCTCATCCCAGACACGCTAAAGCTTTCTCCTGAACGACCGTAGAACATTATATGAAGCACATTTATGTTTTCCGTTAGTATACAACCATTTGAATACCTATCACAGAATGTTACACTCCACGTTGTTTCGAAGATGAATTTGATAGATGTGCGTGTTCAGTGTCATCTTATATAAATGTTTTCCATGTCAGCATGTCACAGTGAAGATGGCATACTTGACATATCTAGCTCTAAAGTATCATACTATGCACTGCAGCAGTGAAGGTAGTGTGATGGGCTATTTGGATGAGTTATCGTTTGTCTCTTAGTGGATTGATTTATAACATTTCCAACAGGCATATTACATGAATAGTGTCTCTGTACCATGCAAGTAAAGCTTAAATGTGATGACTAATGACTTACGTCCGATTCTGAGTCCGAGTTGTTTACTTCAGATCCTTGGCGCTGATGATCATATTTGCCCTCTTCTTGTCCACCATTCGAGTTCCACTTGCAACATATTCAAAACGAGAGGGTTGCCATGCAAGTAGGATAACGATCTTTGAGCTGATACCTGTGAGTATAACAGGCATGCGTACTCGTTGTTGTGTTTCATGCATTGAATTCTCGATTACCCATTGATTATCTATCCATTCTATCATTATAAATACTATCGACCCATTATCTGTATTAGATACATCTTGAGTCCACGTCACGTGTGAGTGAGTGAGTGAGTGAGTGAGTGAGTGAGTGAGTGAGTGAGTGAGTGAGTTAAGATTTATTGTCACATCGACAGTATTTCAGCCATATCGTGCCTTAAACAAATTACATATTAATAATACATAAATTTAGACCAGCAAAGACCTGTCGTCAATAGACAGTAAAACAACTGGAGTATCACAGATTTGTATTTAAAAGTAGCATGGAACGATAAAAGGGTTATGACTGTAACTGTTAACCTGAAGATAAACCAGCAAACAAAGTTAGGCCACCATGCCAGGGACCATGAGGACTTACGGTTATTTTAATGTAAATTGTTTACCGTACTTCTGCTATATGTTAACCAGCAAGATTTACACCATCCCTCTGGCTACTGGCGATTGTTAGAAAGTTAAGCCGACAATTAAAATTTACGAGTATGCTACGAATATGCTATGTAAAACTATGGCAGGAATAAATGTGGTCGTTCATACTCTCCCAGGGGGAAAATAATTTTACGCTTCTTCAAACCCATTTGAGAGTATTGCCACTAACAATCTCAAATATCAAATTTACTCATGCCTTTCAATATAATTTTTTTTCAATTTTACAAAAATATCCAAAAATGTTGTAACATGATATTTTTAAAAACAATAACAGATTAAATGAGAACTCTAGCTAATTAAAAGGCACGAGAGACATTCTTACTGGTAAGGGAGATATACATTGTAATTCAACACGTCTACGTTTGAGATTAATCAGTCACGAATGCCTGCTGTAGCAGTCTCAATGGGACATAAATGGCAAATAGTTATGAAAATTATATGTATTGATCAGTGATGACACCTGGTTTTCACAAAAAGGATAAGCAGGGATAGCAATTCATACGGGAAATTGTGGTTGTGAATGGGCCCGGGGTATTTATGACATTAACGTAGAGATTTAATACACCAGATAACCGAGATTGAAGACGTAGTAACTATTTGGCATCCTTGCCTATAATAATTGTTATAAATCAATACTACTTAAACATGAAACGTAAACGCCAGAGAATATTCAGTCTCAATTATCTGCCGAAACAGATTTGGGCGTAAAAGGCAACATAATGGTGAAAATTACATAAATGAATCACTTAACATCAGTGATGACACCAGGTGTTCTTGGTTAATTGATTCATTGATTCACAGACCTGTATTTTCTATATTGATAAGGGGCGGTCGGGTAGCCTAGTGGTTAAAGCGTTCGCTCGTCACGCCGAAGACCCGGGTTCGATTCCCGACATGGGTACAATGTGTGAAGCCCATTTCTGGTGTCCCCCGCCGTGATATTGCTGGAATATTGCTAAAAGCGGCGTGAAACCATACTCACTCACTCACTATATTTATAAGCAGTATAACAAAGTATAACCAATAACAAAAGAATATCGAAATGCTCCTCAGGTCATCCTCGCCGTCGGGGTTACGTGGCTCCTGTCGTTTGTCTTGACGGTGACGGACGTTTTACCCAGCAACTCCACCCAGCACGGGCATATGGCCAGGACTGACGTCAGAATCAACGCCCTCTACGATTCACCTTGGTTTTACTTTCCACTTCCGTGTACGTATCGGTATCCAGCCCTTGGGAGTCCCGGTTAGAGTTGACCGCCAGTTGTTTGTAAGACGAATATTAATGTACCGGGTGGTTAGGATCGGTCAAATTTGTTCATTGCAATTAATATCAATGACTGAATAGTCTGGTCCAGACTCGATTATTTACATCCAGCTGTCATGCAGCTTGGTACGTGTTAGGTTTAACCAGAAACACACAAACACACCTGTATCTGCATATTCATAGAAACCCTTGACTGTCTCTGATTAAAGTTTGAGAGCACCTGATTGTTATCCAACTGAAAATCTCAGTGCTTTGACAAAGTTGGTGGCATAAACAAATTGGGTCGCATGGTGTATTCAGAGGTGTACATATACACACGGCGGGATGTTTAAATTATAAGATTAAATCGTGGATCCAATGCTGTGGGATTTCGATTTGGAAGACACAGTACTCGCTGTCTTACAGAGTTTCTAAAACCTCACATATCTAGGTTACACATATCGGTGTTTTGTATACACTAGACACTGTAACTTTGACCATTGTCAGGTGTACTGTTAACATGGAATTTGTACAGGTATCTCAAAGATGAGAGACACGAATCATGCTACTGTATTAATTTCATAACATGTCCATGCATGTACTACGCAGGCTTAGACCGCCTCCGTGGTCTAGTGGTAGAGCTTCCGCCTGGAGAACGGAAGGTCCGGGGTTCGATCACCGGTCGCTTCATAGCGAAAGACGATAAAGATGGTACTTGTTCTTACCCTGTCTGGCTCCCGGCATTAAGGTGCTAAAACAGGGGTTTGTCAGCTCGGAGTCAGTATACTGTGTCTGAGTGGGGTATTGGTCATGGTAGCTAGCACGATAAATCGGCTTCAGACCTTACTAGTACAAGCAGCTACAAACACACACAAACACGTGCATGCACGCTATGTAAATGCAATAATCTTGGACGCGACGTTAACCCCAATTTCACCTCACCTCACCTACTTGGACTTGCTACCACCAAGTCACCCCGCACATTATATATTCAGTTCAGTTTGGAATGCCTACAGTCAGTGCAGCAGGATACGTTGGAATGCTGGCCGCTACAGTTGCTTCTACCATCGAATCTACCGGGGACTATTTCGCTACAGCGCGTGTGGCGGAAGTTGTTCCGCCGCCGCCTCACGCCGTGAATAGAGGTATAGCAATGGAGGGTTTTTCAAGCACTATCGGCGGAATGATTGGTGGAATCTGCGCAAGCACTTCCTACAGTGAAAATATAGGTGCCATTGCTATTACAAAGGTAGATATATTAAATATAATATAGATATAATACTATCAGTTATGGTGTCACCCTCGCCCAATATCTTTCTGCTAACCTAATATAACACCGTATACGGCAACTAAAGACACCATAACGAAATTAGTATGCCGAAAAGTTTACACTATTTGGTATGTTTGTCGCACGTCATGTCAAAATTTAAAACTCAAAACTTAACACTCACAACCTGAGACGTTAAGGGTCAAAGGGAGACTACTCTTCAAACCTCAGAAGCCAAACCTTATTGATAATTTTAACTTTATATAATCTTTATTTAAATAATAAAGGTTATAAAAAAACAACATTAACGTCCTTGCCTTAAAAAATAATGATATTAAAACACAAAACAGTGTCGAAAAACGAACTTCTGCAACAGAATTTTCATGTGAAATATGTGAGGTGTGTTCGACAATCCAAAATGGCTGTTACTGACGGTATACGGTCTCATATCAGGTCAGTATCAACCATCTTGGATTTTTACTGGCGGTATACGGGCTCATGTGGGGTCAGTAGTTCTGCTCTCAGATTGGTCAATCTCACCTTGAGGCATAATGAATATGTATATTATTTTTATAGATGTATGTTTTATACTGGTCATATGAACGCAATCAGTACGTCTACTGTTTACACTTACTTCGATATGAAATAAATCTGATATTTATCATAGTGAGAAACATGTACAACTTTAGACTATGGATAACAACTTCTGGTTTGTTGCATACAGCGACATTTCGATGAAGATTTTTACACCGTTATCAAGCCGGAGTGACAACCAAATGATGAGAGGAAAATATGCATGACATGTTGTGAATAAGCAGCAGATTAACATTGGCAACAACGGTAATAGATAACAAGTAGATTATTGGATGATTAGTTGGTTGATTTGGTTGTTTTACGCCGCACTCAGCAATATTCCAGCTATATGACGGCGGTCTGTAAATAATCGAGTCTGGAAAAGACAATCCAGTGATTGATATCATGAGCATCGATCCACTCAATTGGGATCGATGACGTGCTTCAACCAAATCAGCGAGACTGACCACTTGATCCCGTTAGTCGCCTTTTACGACAAGCATGAGTTGCTGAACACCTATTACACCGGATCTTCACGGGTTAGATAATTGGGTGAAGCCAGATCCAGTACAGGGTAAGGATTAAAGGGATTTTACAGTTATGACAAGCTGATTGGGTCCTAATTAAAATAGTCTATTGCTTAATCAGATCTTCATAGGTAGACGGTATGTAATACCCTTGATACCTCTGTTGATCAAAGCTTTGTGACGGCGGATTTCTATAGCATCTGAGGGTTTTCTTTTGATGAAGTCCTGGTGTTTTATTGAGAGGATTTGGACTTTGTCAAACTTAATTTGATGGCTAGGGAATGTTTACTGGTGGTCGCTTTAAGCAATAAACCAGACGTTGTTATCTATAAAGTTGTACGTTTTTCTTACTTATTTGCCAACTTATAGAATGCCAATTAAACAGTTATTTATCGTAGTGGTTCAAATGTTTCGCAGGTACTATATGGGATGGAGGCAAATAAATATTTATATCTCAATTCAATCTTATTAAAATCAGATCTAAGTTCTCGCTTCCAAAGATCTGAGGACATCCCATTAGGGACCACGTCAGAACGACCTTTTATCCGACCAATCAGAGCGTCGCTTACCAGATCATGAAAGTGACAGTCGGAATGTGATTTCTAATCATGCAACCTCGAACACTGTAAAAAACGGGGTATTCCGAACGATAGTTACGGGCTTGACGACTGACCCTATACAATCTAGACCATATATTAGCCATTCGAAAATGTTCTTTTGTTCAGGTTTCAAATTTTTAAGCGAGAATTTGTCAAAATATGTTTCGAAGCGAAGTCGCAAATTTGAAATTAGTGCCGTAAATCACGAGAAAGCTGCTTTCTGTCGACTTCTTGTCAGAAATTCCAATGGTCGGTCACACACACACACTAACTAACTAACTAACTAACTAACTAACTAACTAACTAACTAACTAACTAACTATGACAAGTCTATGAACGGATGTTGTAGATTGCAAGCAGGAAGGTGTTTGTCACAGCCGGCATTCTCCTGGTTCTGGCTGGCGTGATTGGCAAGATCGGCGCTGTATTCACTATCATCCCCGACCCTATCATTGGCGGGGTGAACCTCATCACCCTGGGTATGGTGACGGCCGTGGGCGTGTCCACACTGCAGTTCATTGACCTCAGGTCGTCACGGAACCTCATGATAATCGGGACGTCAATGATGCTGGGACTGAAGATTCCCGACTGGATGGCTACACACTCCCAGGCCATTGATACAGGTAGATAACCGAAAGAGAGAAGTGTCTCTCTCTTGTCAAGAAATGTTTCTCCAGTACAAACCTACCACAAATCTCGAAACAAATGACCAACTTGCCTTGTCTATCCCAAACAATACAGACTAAAGTCCTTCGGTGCTCGATCCTCCTCTCATCCAGGTGCCTAAACTATGGAACCCCTTCCCTTCCGATTCAAAAGCGCCCCTAGTATAACTGTGTTATATGGACTCAAAAGATTCAGCTCTTCGCGCGCTACAACTGAATGTGTATACTTTTATTATCTGTTAATAATATCGTTTAATATCTGGTATATTATATCTGTTGTGTAATACATGTACATATGCTATGTTGGGCATTGAGCATGTCCCTCAGCGGTGTGGAATTTTGCGATATAGAAATAGCAATGCTATTATATAAAGATAACAATAAAGGATGCCGCAAAGAGGGTATGGGTGATCCTGGCAGTCAGGCTGGTTAGGCTTATCATCAGCTCAAAGCCCTTGACCCCTCTACGCGCAGCCCAGACAGCGAATTGGACTTCTCCCATCAAGGGCTGCCTTGTCAGACCCACCCAAAACTTTTCGGAGAATAGGAAGAACACGGGTACTCTCACAATGTCAGTCAACAGAATGGGAGGTACAAAAACTAAGGCACCATAAACAATGGGAGTCGGACAACTTGGGATGCAAGCGTGACATTTCGAAAGCGAGGACTGCATATTTGCCATGTTTTTCCTGAATCTTGTCAATTACATTAGTGTCAAAAGGGACAGAAATTACAATAACATAAATGATTTATTAAAAAGGAAAAGATCAGGATTGTTGATCAGGGTAGGTCTGAGGCTGTACATGGGACTATTCCAAAGAACTTTGTATTTATCATTTCCCTCTACATATTCTGGGTCGTACCATGCAACCATGTTTTGTCCCGTTTTGGCTTGCGTTCATGCAATGGCGGCTTTGTCATGGCTAAAAAGATGTGTTTTGACATTATTTATTTATTCTACATTGTACATTTTCTCTCATATCCCAAACCGTTGTTTCGATGACGTTTAACTGAAATTAGCGCGTTCTTCGATTCCTGGTCTAACCGCGCCTGCCTGTGTGAGGTCACGAAATTGTTTTACTCAACGTAAAATCTGTTGTGAGAATATTTGTATAAATCACGAAAAAGGAATTAAGGCAAGTGTGACATAAGTTTGCTATGAAGTTTTAATTTCCTAAAAAACTTCTGGGGCTTCTGGTTTTTCACGTGAGCAATTGGCTTGCCTTTGCTCGTGACTGCTTCCACCGGAAGGGCAGGATGCGAACACTTGGTATCACTGTTTGATGGGTGGTTCATAAACACATCTTCATGATATACAATCGACTTTGCTATTAGCAGAGATTCCCTGTCTTAATTTTCTCTATCACGATTTCAAAGACTCTTGCTCAGAAATTGTTTGATCAAGGTTACAACATTCAAGGCCTCAGTAAGCTTTCAAAAAGTTTTATGGTAGACATGTGGAGGACATTTCCAAATTCGACTCATCACTGACAAAAATTATGTTCGTTGCAAGTCCCTATTTTGACTTGTACCATATGTTCCATGTACCAGTTTTTATCAGGTGAACAATTGACTTGCCTTTGCATGTGTTTGTGACGGGTGCCACCGGTAGGGCAGGACACGCGCACCATTTTGCGAACACCTGGTATCATTACTATTTGATATTTATTCATAAACACTCATGATATAGTCGGAATCGTACAATCGACTCCACTTCATGCACAGACTTCTATTGGATACGGAAAGGGTTTTTGTCACTTTAAATATAAATATTGAAAAGGTTTTGTCGTTTTTATTATTCATATATAGAATATACTCAATGTAAACGCCGCAGACTCAGATATTAATTATACTATTATTCCCTCTGTAACTCGTATGAATGCTTTACAGGAAGTGCCAATTTTGACCAGGTGGTGACAGTGCTGCTGTCGACACCCATGTTTGTTGCCGGATTCACTGGCTGCTTCCTGGATAACCTTGTGCCAGGTACACTCACCTTGGATAAGTATCTATTCTTCCATCATCATTTATCGCAATTCTCCATCATCAAGTTTGTTTCACCAAAGTCGTTAAGGTCTAAAACCTGCACCGATTGAGCTTTCTCTCCACACTAAGCAATAACAATGTGAATAGCAATGAGAGGCATTCAAAGAAGGAGAAGAAAAGCAATAACACGTTTTTTTCTTTCGTTTACTTTTATTATTTCATCCGTACGACAATATGTATAAGAAACTATATCCTTCCAATTTTACTTGTATTAACTTTTTTATTCGTATTACCATAACCGATTCCACATCTCAGAAAAAAATAACCAAGACAATGAGGTCATGAGTGCATTGCCATTGGCTTCTTTGTGAAAAGCACTTTGATGGTATACGTAAACATATTCTTATTATCAATAAATAATGATGCTAATGATCTTTATTTATTGATTTATACGAAGGCACCGAAGAGGAGCGAGGCATTACGAAATGGCGTTTGAGTATGGAAGGGTCTGGCGACTATTACATAACAGGCGAAGATACATACGAGTTTCCCTATGTCACTCAGTTCATCAGAAGGATAAAATGTTGTGGTTACTTCCCTATGTCTCCTACATTTGACAAGGAATTCAGCTGCGGTTGTTGTTGTAAGAAAAGGTCAAATAGTTCTTCATATGCTGTAGACAATCCCGTTGCGATGGGAAATATAGAGAAACTGTAGCCATGCACATGTCAGAGCATCTACGTTTCAGTTTAACACAAACCCAAACATTTGCTTCGAACGTTACAGTTTTTAGCGAAATCGTCCATGAAACAATAGCAAATTCACAAGTACACTACCTCTAGCAATCGGTTGAAATTCAAGAATGCAATGTGGCAGGTCGATAATTTAGCTTGTTTTCGCAGCAATGTATTTGTTTTGTCAAGCAAAGTTTCTAAACGAAACGTAATGTTCAATGACACATATGCTGATATTGACTTTATTCGCCACGACAATAATCCAGCGATGGAAGCTTTAATCATCTGGAATCTTCATCTGATTGTTCGAGAGAAGGGATGTGAAATGGTTCATTCTACTTATTCAAGAATGCATTGGAATTAAAGAGACAAAACTGTTTCCATTGTACGATTCCGAAACTGCAACTTTCTTTCCTTCTTCCTTTAACCCTCATAATAAGCCCGTCCAGTAACACACCCACAAAGGCTAACACAATGCATACTTAAAACCTCATCTGAGGTTGGGCTTCTAATGGAACGGACCTATATTCAAAGTGTTTTAGAGGCTGGCCTTGGACTTATTCTAACACCGGTGTTCTACTATGAGTGAGTGAGTGAGTTGGGTTTAACGCCGCTTTTAACAGTATTCCAGTTATATCACGGCGTGTCAGCTTAATGTGGGAGGAAAGCCCGAAGTGATGCAGGTCGTGGACGTTTACCACTTCGGTGAAACGCACGAGCACGGGTATGGTGCTGACAAACCGAGAAACATAATCGGGGCGAACCGGGATTCGAACCCACAATCATAGGTTTCTGGCGTGCCCAAGGGACGCAACTCTGCACAGCGAATCGCGGCGCCTTAGACGACTGGGCCACCCGGGCCCCCGTTCTACTATGAAAGCAACCATGTATCGTGAGGGCGATTGGATTCAGATTCACTTTATTCAGAATTCCAGGCCATCTAACTCATAGTGCATTACAGTTAGCTAAAATATAGTTTATGTAGGGAATGGCTTTTGGATACTTTTACATATACCACTATTTTATTGGCATAGCTTGCTTTTAATAAACTTGAGCACATAAGAAAATGGTTTGAGTTTTCATGAAGGTGTGACTACCTGTAAATGTGTAAAGTCAGGCCTGTTGTTCATAACAGCTAGCTAAATGAGGTGAGGTGAGGTGAAATTGGGTTTAACGTCGCGTCCAAGATTATTGCACTTGTGTGTGTGTGTGTGTGGCTGCTTGTATCAGTTCGGACTCATGCCGAATTTTTGTGCCACTGAGATACCCTGCCGCAGTTTAACATGAATTCCCCACTCAGACACAGTGTACTGACTCCGAGCCGACCAGTCCTTGTTTTAGCACCTTAATGCCGAGCGCCAGACAGGGTAACAATAAGTACCATCTTTTAACGTCTTTTGGTATGACGCGGCGGGGATCGAACCCCGGACCTTCCGCTCTCCGGGCGGACGCTCTACCACTAGACCACGGAGGCGGTCTCTAGCTACATGAAGTCTAAAGATATTGTATGTAGATATTTTACTATGTATTAGTTGCAAGTGAAAAACACATAAAACACACCTAGAGCCGGGCTGGAAACAACATGATTTTTCCACAGTTAACAGAAATCTCGGTTAAAAAAAAATCTGTTTTACGATTATCATGACCATGTGTCTACGAATCACTATCAAGTAATGATGAAAAAGCTATTCGCTAAAAGATGAGTTTATTCACACCTACCGGTGGCACCCGTCACAGACACATGCAAAGGCAAGTCAAGCGTTCACCTAGAAAACGAATTAGAAACGTTGCACAAAACGTTATGCAAATGTGGTGCAATAATGTTGTCCCAATAGTACTGACCTGTGACTCTGCCATGGACACAATGGCGCGCTGTTCGGTCAGTCATTGTGATATCATACAATTAACATAATGGACCCACCCCAAAACAATAACGCTTTACGACGTTAAGATACATATATCGCTCATTTGGGTCGTCTCCAAACTCGATTCATTCAGTGAGAGTGAGTGAGCGAGTATGGTTTTACGCCGCTTTTAGCAATATTCCAGCAATATCACGGCGGGGGACACCAGAAATGGGCTTCACACATTGTACCCATGTCGGGAATCGAACTCGGATCTTCCGCGTGACGAGCGAACACTTTAACCACTAGGCTACCCGACCGCCCCAAGTCGAGAGTGAACATCGATTCCTTAGAAAACCAGACCCAACGTCGATTATCCCAGTGCTGACGTTCCCTACACCTCTGGCGCCACTGATTACAAAAGGGGGGCACGGGTGGCCCAGTCGTCTAAGGCGCAACGATTCGCTGTGCAGATTTGCGCCCATTGGGCACGCCAGAAACCTATGATTGTGGGTTCGGATCCCGGTTCGCCCCGATTATATTTTTAGGTTTTACAGCACCATACCCGTGCTCGTTGGTTTCACCGAAGAGGTAAACGTCTGAGACCTGCATCACTTCGGGCTTTCCTCCCACTTTAACCTGACACGCCGTCATATAACTGGAATATTGTTAAAAGCGGCGTTAAACCCAACTCACGACGACGACGATTACAAAAGACATACAGCAAGTTGTGGGGTGACACGTTGACGTCGTGCACGCATCTGCTATCCGTGCATACGATTTCACACCGTTTGGACATGAACTCTTGCCTCTAGCAACCGGTCCAATATCTGAGTGACAGTTAGCAACTGACTTCTAAATGCCATCGTTCTGACTGATCTGTCCTGGGCTGGAGTTGATGCTCTTTGGTCGTCCCGAGCGACATAATATCTTTGATGGTTTCGGGACCTCAATCTGCTGATGGGGCGGTCGGGTAGGCTAGTGGTTAAAGCGTTCGCTCGTCACGCCGAAGACCCGGGTTCGATTCCCGACATGGGTATGTGAAGCCCATTTTTGGTGTCCCCCGCCGCGATATTGCTGGAATATTGCTAAAAGCGGCGTAAAACCATACTCACACACTCACTCACTCAATCTGCTGATGACATTCAGAGTTTAGGCAAAATTATGCTGACGTGTGCGCAGCTGCAAGATGCGTGGCACCGATCAATAATATTGGTTACTTAATGATTAAATGTGTTTAAAAAAGGGTCTTTGAACATTTTGTTCCAAGAAAACAATGTGCATCTTACAATGGTAAATCTGGCATATCACCCTTGCACATGCTGTCCGAGGTCACGTGATTCATAACTTTTACAATGTTCTGCTGGGAGCTTGAATCCTCCGGAAATGTTCTTGCCACATACATCACTTACTTTCATTGCCAGACTTTTGTGTACGTTCTTATAGTTTCACCTCAAAACGAAATATCCCCAAAAAATTTGGCATTGTATAACACAAAGGACACTGGCCAGCAAATCGAGACAAGAGACGTGCCGATATAAGACCTAGTGTCAATAAGACTTCTTCATAATCTTAAACTATGAGTTTGAACACTGAGATTTGTTTCTGAGGCCATCAATAAAATACGACACACTCCTATGGGTATTAATAGGATGGCACATGTACTCTTCAAAAAAGAAACGCGCAAGTAGATTTTTAGTACATGTATTGTACCTAATAAAGTCGATATATTTAATTTAATATCATAGATACTAATATGAAATTTTGGAGCTCGACAGTCACATGTTGTCGTTGTACTAAGGCATTGAAAACTGTTCATTGTCATGTCACATGAGGCCACAAGGTTGCGCTGACCTCGTGTATCTCGTGTGACCGCCCCGGGCAGCAGTCACGGATCTGCATCTCCTTGGCACTGACTGGATAAGTGTACGAATTCTGTCCTGTGGAATTCTGCGCCATTCTGCTTCAAACGCATTGGCCAGTTGTGGGAGTGTCTGCGGCGTATTCTGACGTTTACGTACACGTCGATAGAGTTCATCCAAGGGGGCCCGACGGCCAGGGCAAGACGTTGATGTTGCCATTATGAGGGAAGTCTACCGTGACACGAGCTGTGTGCACTGGAGCGTTGTCCTGTTGAAACAGATCCCTCTGGTGGTCAATGATTGGAAGAAGGTGAGGTTGAAGAATTTGATTCATGTAGCCATGTGCTGTCAAATTTCCCTGAACCCAAAAGATTTCCCGGGGTAGGATATAGACCCCCACCGCCAATGCCATCGCCGCCACCGAAATTGTCGAATTAACGAACACAATGTGGGGCAAAACGCTCATTTCGACGACGATAAACACATTGTCTCCCATCTCGCCGGTGAAGAATAAATCGTGATTCATCGCTCAACCACACTCGTCTCCAGTTTCTCAAATTCCAAGGCTGTAAGGTATGGCACCAACGCAAGCGTTGACGATGGATCTGTTGCACAACAGGGACGATAACTGGTCCTCTGGGTCGGATTCCAGCCTCGCGAAGATGGTGCCTGACAGTCTGGTCCGATATCCTCCTCAAACCAGGGATGCGTCCTGCAGCTCCGTAGCTGTGGCATTGCGATGACGTAGGTGGAACAGTCGAATGTGGCGATCCTGTGCAGGGCCGGTAACTCTTGGTCGGCCGGTTCTCGGACGGTCTGCAGTGGAATCGAACTGTGTGTATCGGTCACAAAGGCGGCAAATGGTGCTGTGGTGGACGTTGAAGTGACGTGCAACAGAAGACTGTGATTCCCCTCTTTGGATAGGTCCTATGGCGATGTTCCGATCGGCAGCGCTGAGTCTCGGCATTTTCGAACTTGAAAAATGTTGACAGTTGAATGACAGATTATTGGCTTATGCTTGCCTTCATGTAGCCACTACCACGAGCTACGAATGCCATAACGTGTACGTGCATTTTGCTTTACTGTTTTCGTCTTTGACATTTTTGAACATTTTCCAATAACATATATCCAATTTATGTACCGGATTATTTTTTTCGTCAGGTTCAATGGACTACATACTACCTGTGCGTTTCCATTTATGAAGAGTGTATATAAATATGTGTATTCAATTTACATTGTTGCAAAAGAGAGTTATATATAGGAAAATGGAAATATTGGATTATAATATTCCGTTATTATCATGCAATCTCTAAGACGCTGGCATTTATGAGATAATTCCTGTATTGAATCGAGGAGGCATCATTAACACTTATCCTATAATGGACAACCCAGTCAGGGCACGAAGAGAGGGCATCAACGCTGACATGTGTTGCCAACTGGACATGTGTTGCCAACTACGCCGACATTTTTTATAAAAAAATAAGAAATGAATTTCACATTGTGGTGGTAAACTGGAGAATGAATGGTGTGAGTTGTGCAGATTAAAGTCGTGTAAACGCCGGATCTTACGACGAACATTTGAGATGATTTACGTTACCGGTTACATTGGTTACCCACTAGCGGATATATTCTTCACACTTCCGCAAAACAAAGTAGTTCCAATTCCATAAATATAAAAAAAACAACAGCTTATTTTTAATGAACTAGGGTTACATTCATTAAAATTTAACTTAAGAAATGACTTTCTTTTTTTCACGCGACCTTCACCTCAAAGAATTTACCAGATACGTATAACATATGTTGACGTATGTTATCACAACCGGTGATCAACAAAATGGAGTGTCCACTGATATAAGTATGCGGGATTGAACTTAGGGACGTTCGTTGATTCGGGGATCGTACATACATAAAAGTGTCATGTAAGTAGTCAGAAACATTCTGAAAATCTGTGTATTGTTATTCTTGTTTATGTTTTCACTGTAACCAAAAGAAAGAGTCCGAAATGCCAATAAAAACTTTGTCGTTGTGCGTGACTTTGCGTCAGTCATGAGGTCACACAGTACGGAAGCTTTGATAATGTCTGTTGAATTTACCAAATCATTGTAATGTATCTATTTTCTAATTCCCTAATTCTTGCTACGATACTCTTCCCATGCATATTCTAAAAACATAGAGCAATTGTATCTCTTTAAATAGGAGAAAATGCTACATAGCATAATATCTGAGTATTGCTTTGTTTACATTTCAAACAAGTGCAGTTTTCCGAGCACAGCTTTCGTTTTCACACCTAATTTATTTCGCTTGAGTTCGTCTAAACAGCTTGTATTGGTGACAAAGACCATTTACCATTTGATTC